TTTATCTGTATAAATGTAGGTAAAGCTGACCAGGACAAATATATTAAACAATTAGTTATTTCTTGTCAATACCAAAACAATAATCTAACAAAAGAATTCTCTGAAATAATTACTGATATACAAAATATTTGGAATGAGAAATCAGGATTTTTAAAATCTACATTACCAAGTTCAGCAATACCAAGTGAGGAACTTAATTCTGATATTAAAAGCCAACTTAATAACTATTCAACTATAACAAACCAAACTAATAATCTTAATATTGACTATATGAGTTTTTTTGGTAACAATCTTTAGAATAATCAAGAAAGTGATGATATTGAATCAGTCTATACAACATTATATCTCAACTCTGAAAAACCTACTCAACTTTGACAAATTTCTAAAAGTCAAATATCTAGTTATTTTAATAATAATAATAGTAATAGTAAAGGGTCTAGTAGGATCAATCATGATAATGAATTTGAGGAACCCTCTTCTGATTCAAATAAACTAGCAGAATTACTTAAAAGTATACTCTTAGATCTAAAAAATGCTCTTAAAACATGTTCTACTACAACAACTACTATCCCTAAAGAAACAAAACTTATTGAATTTCCTATATTTAAAGGAGGTAATAATGATTCTATAACTTGGTTCGAAGCTTTTGAAAGGGTATATAAAGCTAACAATGTTAGTGCAGCTCCTCACAAGCTTGAACTTGTTTCTAATTTTCTAAAAAGAACTGCTTTAGTTTGGTATAATAAGAATAAGGAAAATATTCAATATTAGAACTATCATCACTCTGATAAAACAATACATCAGTCTTTTAAATATTAATTTGAATAACAATTTAGAAGTTATATAGAGTTAATCAATAGTTTTATTCTTTGAGAAATTGAAAACAAAAATCAAGTAAAACAGTTGAATTATATAATATATCTTTAGAGAAATTATGGCACAAAGTTGACCTAAAGAATACTTATTCTAATGAAGATAAAAAGAGACAATTTATTGATGGATTACATCAGGAATTCCATATTCCAGTTGAATCTGCAATGCCTAGGGACTATGATGAAGCTGTTGAAAAAGCTAAAGCTATTGAAGTAGCTTTTTCAAAAAGAAGTAAACTTTCTTTATACTCTCTGTTACCTGGAACTCATCAATCTCAATATTATAATAGTTATAATTATAATTCTACTCCTGCTAATTTTGATGAAATAATAAATATCAAACTTTTAGTAGCAGTATAACAAATATTAGAAAAATTAGACAAAGTAAAAATAACTATACAACCTACAACACCAAGTTCAAATTATTATAATAATAATAATTATAATGATCAAAATAACTAGAACAATAATTATAACAACAATAACCAAAACAATAATTTTAACTCTAGGCTAAGGAATAATACTTGTAATAGGTGCAATAAAGTTAGATACTTTGCTGCTAAATGTAGAGCTCCAACATACACTAATTGCAACAGAATTAGATATTTAAATAGAAATTGTCAACTCAATTAAAATTAAAGGAATAATAATAATTATCGTCTTAATAATAATAGGAATTTTAACTAACAACTTAATAATAATAATTACCAAAATCAAAATAATATTCCAAATTAACAAAATAATTAACAAAATAATCAACAAAATAACTAACAAAATCAACAACCTTCTAATCAAAATAATAATAATCAAGGTTTTAACAATAATCAACGTCAAAATTTAAACTAAATAGGACATCTCCTAAGAGTGAGTATGTCACTAAATCAAATCTCTCTAAACAAATTAATGAAATATTAGGAGAAGTAGATGAAATAGTAAACAAGGATGATATTTATATAGACTATATAAATATATTTGATGATGATGATAATATAAATATCTCAACTATAAACAATAAGGATAATAATATATATCTTAATTATAACTCCTGGCTTGAGGATAAAAATTTTGAAACTATTGAAATTAAGGGATTAAATATTGAATTTGAACAACAAAATGAAAACCAAAATAATAATCAAGTTAAGGATACTCTTTTTGCTATAACAATAATCTTTGAACAGGAAATAAATATTCTCATTGATACAGATTCTAAAAGATGTGTAATTTTCAAACCATTCTTGAATAAACTTGGAAAACAAATTGATGCTTCTAGTAATATTTGAGTAATTAATATTACAGGAAATAGGTCTATCCTATTAGGAAAAGTAAATCAGGTTTTAGTCAAAATAGGAACTATTAAAATAACAATTGATATGATAGTAACTAAGTCTAAAGAATATAATGTAGTTCTAAGAAATGAATATTTGAATAAAGTTCAAGCAGTAATTGATTTTCGATTAGGTCTAATATCTCTTGGATTAGATAACAACTCTGAATATATTTTAATAACTTGTTAAAATAAAATTGAAAATGCAAACCAATTTTATCCTATTCAATTCAAACAAATATTTAATAATAACTTTGAATTAGAACTTGAAGATGATAATAATTATGATGATACAAATAGATACTTCAGTACTAAAATTAAAGTCAATAACAACTTTATCCAAATTAATAATAACATAGTTCCAAATATCTGAGTAGAAAATATTAAGGACAAACATAATAATTATAATGATATATTTAAGATAATTAAACCAGAAATTGAGAAAATTTCTAACAAGCAACAAAAACATATTGAAATTTCTATTTTTGAAAACAAAACTACATATATTAGAAATAACTTGAACAATGAACAAACTACAAAAATATCTAATTTTCTGAAAGAAAATAATGATATTTTTGCTATTAAGTTCTCTGAACTTAAACAAACAAATATAGTTTATTATACTATTAACACTAACAATAATTATCCTATTAAACAACAATTCTATCAAGCTGTTCCAAATAAATAACAACATATTAAGAAAGAAATTGACAAAATACTAGAGGATGGAATAATCTAAAAATTAATAAGTCCTTGGAGTTCTCCAGTTATACTCATTAAAAAGAAAAATAGAAAACTTTGGTTTTGTATTGACTATAGGAAACTAAACTCTATAATCAAAAAGGATACATACCCTTTACTCAGAATTGATGAAATGTTAGATAACTTAAACAAAGCAAAATGGTTCAATTCTCTTGATTTAACTTCTGAATATTGGCAAGTTGAAGTCAAAGAGGAGGACAAGGAAAAAACAGCATTCATTATAAAATTTAGGCTTTATGAATTTAATATAATGCTTTTTGGACTTTGTAATACACCCTTTACATTTTAAAGGTTAATGGACATAGTTCTTGAACTAGTACTTTGGAAATATGCTATAGTATATATTGATAATGTAAATATATATTCTGAATTATTCGCATAGCATATCTAACATTTAAATGAGGTTTTTAACTTAATCAAAGTAGCAAACTTAAGGATTAATTATAAAAAATATCATTTTTGTATAAATGAAATGCAATTTTTAGAACAATAATAAAAAGTAAAGAAATCAAACCTGATCCCCAAAAGGTTGACAAATTTAAAAATTTACCTTCTCCCAAAAACCTAATACAACTACATATATTTATTAGACTAGTATCATACTATCGAAGGTTTATTGAAGAGTTTTCTAAAAAGGCAGCTCCACTAAACAAATTATTATAAAAGAATGTAGAATTTATATAGACTCAGAAATATGATAAAGTATTTAACTAGCTAAAACAAAGTTTAATTACACTACCTATTCTGCAATATCCTGACTATAATAAACTATTTATTCTCTTTACAGATGCATCTTATCAAGGCTTAGATGCAGTATTATCTCAAGTTAAGAATAATAAAGAATATGCAATTGCATATGCAAGTAGGATATTATTAAAAGCTAAAATTAACTATAGTATTATTGAATTGGAATATTTAGCAGTAATATGAGTAGTAAAATATTTTTAACATTATATTTTTAAAATGAGATTTATTCTAATAACTAATTACAAAGCATTATAATAGCTACTAAACTTATATACAATCAATAATAACAAAAGGATAACTCGATAGCAGTTAACTCTACAGGAATACCAATATGATATAAAATATCGTGCTAGTAAACAGAATAACAATGCTGATTTCTTCTTATATCTACCTGAATATTTAAAAAATAATAGATAAACAACTATATCAAACAATTTATAACTTTCTTATAACTCTCGAATACCCTATAGACTACTCTAATTTAGAAAAATCTCATTTATAAAAAGAAGTTAAAAATTATTTTGTTGAAGACAATATTTTATTTAAAAGAAACAAGGATAAGCCTCAATGTGTAATCAAACCTAATCAAAAACATATAATATTCTACTCTCTATATGATGAACAAGGAACACATCTAGGAATTAGCTTAACTTATAACAAAATTAAGGAATGATATTTTTGGTCTAATATGTATAATAATATCAAACGATATATCCAAACCTATAATATATGCCAATATCGTGGACATGAAATTATTAGACAAGATCTAATCCTTATTCAAGTAAAAACTCTATTTTATAGGATTAAAATAGATATTAAAGGACCTTTACTAATCACTAAACAAGGCAACTGATATATTATAGTTGCTATAGATTACTTAACTAAATAGTCTAAAGCTAAAGCAGTAAGTGATATTAAAGCTACTACTGTTGCTAACTTTATCTATGAAGAAATAATCTGTTAGCATAGAATACTTACAATATTACAATTTGATCAAAGATCTAATTTTATAAGTAAAGTTATATGATACTTATATCAAAAATTTCAAATTAAACATTATAAATCATCTGCTTACTAACCTCAAACTAATAGAATAGTTAAATATTTTAACTAAACAATAGGTGAAGCATTAGCAAAAATAATAAGCTACAAATATAAGAAATAGAATGAAATTCTACCCTTAGTATTACTAGCTTATCAGACAACAAAGTATTCTACTACAAAATTCTCTCCATTCTCTCTAGTATATGAAAAAAAAGCTAAACTCTTTATTGAAACAATAGTTAAAACTTATTATGATAATAGTGAAACTAAAACAGCTCTAATTAAATGAATATTTAAAATTGAGAATATCTTTTTAAAACAACAACATAAAGCTCTTTATAATATACAGGAAGCTCAAATCACTCAAAAGGAAAAATATGACAAAAATATTAAAATTAATAAACTAAAAATAGATGACAAAGTTTTAGTTGCAAAATCTCAACTTAAAAATATTTTCTTAGCAAAATTAGAGGAACAATTTATAGGACCATATATCATCTATGATATTTTACCATTAGGAGTTTATAAACTTCGAA